GATTTCACTGCTCCCTTGGTGATCGTCAAGCTAACCTCTTGGCCAATGGCAAGCCTGGAGGGACACTCAGGGAACAGGAGGGCCACGCCAAACAGCCCCCTCCCCTCCTCATTTCTTCCAGGCCTTGTGACCGACCCATGGGACCAGGAGAATAGAGACTTAAAACAACTGTTTTCAGTGTTATTTTTTTAGAAGAAAATGTAGCACAGGTGAGGTGTTGTTGTTCATAGGATTCTGACCCACCTTTGGATGAGCGTTTTAGGGGCGTCATGGGTGCTCATTGTTCTTCCACCTACCTTTCCTTTAGAAAAACGGGATAAATAACATTTTGTTCTCCAGTAAAAATGTGCAAATAAAAGGGTAATTTATATAATTATAAAGGGAAAATGTGTGTAAAATCATTATAGCGAAAGAAGTGTTTGTTTTAAACGTAGCAAGTTTTTGGTTTAAAAAGAATAGTTTTCAACCTTCCTTTTTCCCTTTTACCCTTTTGGATTTGGATGTGTAATTAGAAGAGGCGGGAAAAAGTTAGCTCAATTCCCCAGGGGTTTGGATTTTCTAATCTGGGGAAGAGGCGTGGCGGCCGCATTCAGTAACAAATGCACACAGTTGTCTGCGTGAAAGAAGAATTGTGGCTCCTCCTTACGCATTTTATTAAAATTTTTTTAGTATATATTTATGGTGAATGAAGAGCCGACACGTGACCAGATGCCCCACCCGGGCGCAGAGGTTAGAGAGAAATGCGAGTTAGCTTCACTCTCTACTTACCATCTCTTTTGACAGGTCACTAACAGACCTGTCAACATGCATGATCAGGATAGGGGAAAGGGGATGGAGGGGAGAGGTATGCCGGCCACCTGTTTTAGAGCTAGGATCCTGCCTACTCATACTCCTGTTGGAGGCGAAAGACAGTTATTTTCCTATCACTGCAGTTTTTGGTGTCCTTCTCACATACAGTAGCACGCTTGAAATGAAGTTAATAAAAAAAGGCAGTGCAAAAACTCCTCCTTCCTCCACTCACTAGTATTTAAATGTTAGGCGGAATTTTACAAAAGTCAAACTCTACCGAGTTATAGGCGTGACTGTAAGATGGGAGAGCAAAGTGTGACAGTCGAGGATGAGTTGAACCAGGCCATTTCATATGACACGCTCAGACTTGACAGCAAGTAACATGTCAAGAACAACTTCTTGGTGTTTCTAGTGCACACTTACACTGCCTAAAACGCAAAAGCCACAGAAGCTGTCACATGCCATGTCCTACCAAGTGACTACCTCCAGGAGCATAACTTCGCTTTGGTATTTCTGCCGACGAGCAAAATGAAATGTAGTCGTGAAAGCACTTGCCTTGAGGCGTTTGAAGGACGCATCACCACTTATCTTGGGCAATGGAGAAGCTCGCGTAAGCTATCACCGAGTAGTGTGGCTACGAGCCGGTGGCGGTGAATGCATTCACCTTGTCGTCCTCTTTACTTCTTTAAATATCCGCTCACTTCATCATTCGCTCGAGCTGATATAAGTTTGGAGTAGCATTTTTAGATGAAGGGAGAAAGGAGGGCGAAGGAGTGAGGACAAAGAACACAATCGGAAGGCCCAGAATGAATGAGGTAGTAGACTTTTCAAATTCTACCAAAACTACACAACATTTTAGGGGTTGAGAAGAAGGAAGTAGACTCTGACATCAGCTCTAGTTGGCATGAATGAGTCTATGAAAAGACTCTGCTGTCAAGGTCTTGTCATCGTTGTGAAGTCATTAGGTTTCCTAAGTAAAAGAGTAGAAGAACAAAAGGAGACGAAGAATTGGTCTATTTTTCCTTACTACTATTTGCTAGCTTGTCGTTGTCAAACTGTCATCTCTGACCAGTCATTGGTCTTCAAGGCGCATTCATTCATTAGATTGTTTGTCTTTAAAAGTCTTCCTCCTTCATTCAATCTCTCGAACCTGTCAATTTGCATTTTTTTTTCTCACGGGAGAATTACTAAAAGAGCAGTGACAAGTCCACCAACCGGTGCATTCAAACCACTGGCATGGAAGTGGAACAAGTGAGGTGAGAAAAGTAAAATGGATGACTTACTGACAGAAGGAGCGTTTGCTTTTGATAAGACCACTCCAAAAAAATAAGGCAAAAACAAAAATAACACCTCAATTGCACTAAAAATAACTTTGAAAGAACAAAATAGAGGCGCCGCTTTTACTAGTCCTCGGGTCTGCTTTGTCTTCAAACCATCTTATTTTGAAACAATAAGCTGGCTGTCAAATTGTTCCTATCCATTACAAAACAAAAAAGGGGTTAATGGAATACCAGCATAGGAAATGAGTGTGCCAAACCAACCAAAGTGATCCCTTCCGCCTCCCTTTCCAATTCTGTCTTCTTGCCTCAAAGCCCAAAGAAGTTCTTATACTCGTCTTTGCAAGCAACTGTAACGCGTTTGGCCTTGTCTTACCTGCTGACAATTTGACATCAACAAGTAATAAGAATAAATTGTGTACTAAAAGGGGTACAAAATAAAAGCATCCACTAGGTAGTGCAAGAGGACTATGAAGTTCACTTAAATCTTCAGTACTAGTGGAAAATTGACCAAAGTAATCTGCTAAAAGTACATTGTGGTGGGAAGAGGGGCGATTGATACATCACAATGTGCCATGCACCGTCTGTCAGCGGAGAGTCCACAGCCTGCCTCTCCTGGTGAGTCAACGCCTCCACACCACGAGTTCACCTACACTTCCTTAAAGGAAATTAAACTCCACAGCAGGGTAAGAAAAAAGGAATTCCGGAGAATGAAAATAAATTTTGTCACCTTTTTGATCATCATTTTCAGTGCTTGCCCCTCGTCTTCACCATCCTCTTCCCCCACTCCATTACTCTGCCTGTAAGTGGCACTCGTGTGAACGAAAAATAACCGCAGGGTGGGATCAAAGAGGCAGGAGGAATGTTTGCAGGCTTGGGAGAATGCTCCCTATTAATCGTGATACACGACACAAACGTGGGGTGGAGCAGATTTTTTTAGTGTCACCCGTTCCCTTCCAGAGCGAAACTGCTTCAGATAGGAATCCACTCTGGTAGCTGGGCTAACGATTGGCTAGAGACTGTACCACAGTAAACAGATACATCGTCATTGCCAAAGGCGTTTACTGATGAACCGACTCTCCTCCAAAGTTTAACTTGTTAGTTGTGAAGCAAAAAAACTCGACTCTACAGGCAGAGAAGGAGAATGGGAAATTGAGCGGAAAACAACCCGGACATAAGCGACTCATGAGGGAGAAGAAAGCTTAATTTTTACAAAACTTGATCAGGCTGCCACTTTACACACCCTTACCTTTGTAGACTCAATTGTTCCCCAAGGCGACAGAAGTTGGCCCTCATAACTTGTCTGCCTGCCTGAGCGAAACTTCGCCTGCCAACAACTCCCCGCCCACTTGTTTACCAAACAACTGATGAGTTTGTCTACCTACTTATGGCCAACTCGGGAATGGAGGAACACAAAAATGGGGTGGTCTTTCCAACTAAAAGTGGTGGAGAGGGAGAATCTCCTCATTCATTTTTTGAGAGACTTTATTGGAAAATGAGAGCAATTGTAATGACAACATTGTAGGGTATGCGGATAAAGTGGGAATGCAGTGAGAGAGGTAATGGGAAATACTTTCAGCAATGGGATCACAGCCACACACATACACACACACACAAACACAGAAAACAAGGCAATTGGGTAGAGATGGGACTTTTTACCAGATAATGGAATGTTTGTATTTCACTCGTTGAGTCATATTGGCTCATTGCCGTCGTCGAGAGTGAGAATATGCGAATCGTCAGCTGTACGGCTCTAAATAAGAGGACAAAAATCATTTAAAAAAGAAAAAGGAGGTAAGGGAAGGACAAGTAAAGTCAAATGTATTATTTTGTGTGTGTTTTTTTTCGCATGTCATTGAATCACAACTGATGTGCTTACCGATTCAACACGAGCAGGAGGATGTGGTACGTAAAGGCATGCAAATTCTTGCTTCTATCGTTTTTTTTCTTACCAAAAGGCAGTAACCTCGACAATTCGTTTAAACAATTCACAGAAAGAGAATTTTCTCACTTCTGACTGGAGCGACTCTCACCACCAATCCATCACACTTGCCCAACGAAAGAAGAATTAAATGGGAGACAAGCAAAACCTCTCTCCACCCCCTACCTGGCTTGTCATCGCCTCTGTTGTTTATCATTCCCTTTTATTTTCCAATTTTGAATTTGCTAAATTAGTTTATTAGGTGTAAACGTCAACAAAAGGTGACAATAAGCATTGCTGGTGCGATTACCATCCACTAGGAGCACAGAAAGTGCGATGAAGTAAGGCACTATCCTTCTTCCTCACTTCAGTCACACCAACGGACCTCAAGAGAGGACAAATTTGTTGGCAGTATGTGGGCGTGTGTTATTTTTAGTGCCATCATGAGATGATTTACCTGTCCCAAGTGTTGGATAGAATAAAAGATGCCCTTTTAGCCTGTTCACGGCCTTAAGTATCTCTTCGGCAGGTGGAAAATTGTGTCAACGATGCCTCAGGCACACATAGAGATGCGCAAGGGAAGCACAGCCTTGTGGGAATGAAAAGATGCATGCCTTGGAAGCACAGAGAGGATTAGGTAGAGAGAGGATCGTTTGGAAGTAACCAATGGTGTGTGGGTGTGCGTGCGCATGTGCTGTCCTAACGTCAGAATGCGAAAATCATGTCACATTGCAAACGTCTCTCCTCTCTCAATCAATCGGTCAGCTAGAGAGCCATTCCCGCCCCAAGGTGTAGGTAACGTAACTGACGAGCAATTTGCCAATCTGGAAAGTCTCAATTTTTTTATTGATGATGACATTTGACATGCAATCACCTCACTTTTAACCTATTCATTTAATTCTAATGTCGATAAATTGTTTCGCAAACACTTACGGCAACCGCTGGCAGCACTCATCTGACAACCAAACAGAAACAAACCCTAAGTCTCATGGAGGAGGTTCAGAAGTCACCGATCAGGAAATAGCGTAAGGTCGGTTGCTTCGCACAATGCTAGAAATGTACTTAAGAATAAAGCAGAGGAAAAGTAATTGAAGCAGAACACTCACTCTAAAAATGACAGGCCCAAAACCGGCCCCGCGATTGTCACCGCTGGCTGGGGGGGCTATCTGGTTCCACTTGCTGTCCCGTTCGCCACCTGCGATGGCTGTGACGTGTTGATTTGGGTAGAGCTCAACCTCTTTTTCGTCCTCTGGAATGCCACATTCTGTGCCTTGTTGGTTAGCCTCAGAGCTAGAACTCCCAAATGAATTCTTCACCCTAGCCTCTGCGCCCTCCACCAACTTCATGTATTTGTATTCCAGTCTAGGAATTGGAAAGGTACGAGACGAAATGTCAACCTCTTCCGCATTCCACCTCCCCAACTGATAACTTTGACAATGTTAGCCCCACAAATCAGGTAATGGCAAAATCTTAACAAGAGAAACATTTTTCTTGCTTTCCTTGTCTTTTTCTTGTTAACAATGCAAATCTTCCAGGTATGGAAAACTAAGTGTCCCAGTTTTTTAGAGCCTTGTTGCCATTTAAATGTCGAATTTACCAAGTTCGCCTTTCAAAAGGAAATTCGAATGACTTGCACTTAAATTGTTCAACGGAACAAACTGTCCTCAAGGAGCATGTCAACTCATTTAACTTGTCAACGGACATTGAATTAGGCATCTAAATGTCGGGCAACAAAGACCACCCCGCTGGGAAGATTTGACTACTACCGGTCAAGTGGACGCAAAAAAATCCGTCTCACATCGTTAGGAGGGAAAAAAATTGTATTTCCAACATGCACAATTTTCTGCATACAATAGAGGGTAAAAATTATTGAGAAATTATGACTTTTCCTTTCTCTCTCCCACTCTCTCTCGGTGGACTGATACAAAGAGATTGCACGCCTCCCTCCCAATCCGTGTACCAACTTCCTCCATCCCTTCATCCAAGAGGAGGAAACGCCTCAAGCACCGGAGGCACCTTACTTGGATCTGGCCGACATATTCATAATTTATACGGGCGAATCGCCTCTCCCCTTCATTCCCTCTCACTTCTTTTCTCTCGTGTCCTCGAGTGAGGCATTTAAAGGGTACATAAACAAAAAGGGGATGGACGAGAAGGGCATCAACTCACTTCTTATTTCTTCGATAGCAATAGAAGATTGTGAGAAGCAGTAAGATGATAAGCGTCATTGTCAAGCCAACCGCAATTTTGCCTTGCAAAGAGAGCAGTGGACATGGCTCGGTGATGAGAGTTGTAAAATTCTCTGCAGGACGACAAGTTCTGGAGATGAGGAAAAAAGGACAATCACCATCACGTCATAGTGGCTGTGGTTAACCTTGTCTCTCTCCGCTCCCCACCGCCCTGGTCCATTATAAGGGGGAAGAGAGAGAGAGAGAGAGGAACAGGGAACGACAAAGCCAAAAAGCGGTTCTTTGAAAATTCTTTTTTGATGGGTTAAAACAAACCCGTGGTAGTGGTGGAGAAATTAATGACTACACGTACATTGTTGGATGGAAAAATAAAAGTGCTTTTAAAGCAGCAATTAAAAACACCATTACTACATAAAGTTCTAGCCCCAAGAAGGGCTTTGGTGAGTTTCAAGGAGTCCATCAAATCATTTCGTACAGTTGTTAAAAGCGGCCAGCTACAATACCTTCTGACCTTGAAGGTGGATGAGTAGCATTTTAAAACAAACAAATGTCATTGTATCGGTGGTTTGTGTGCATCGTTGAGAGATGCCATCTCCCATTCTTACTACCCGGGCAGACGATTTTGATAGGGTTGACATACTTGATGAAGCGATAAGGCGCATATTTAAGGTTGTTTGGGGAGGCAAGTTCGGTCCCTCCCTCCCAATAGGCTACGAGTAAGTGGAATGGAAAAAAAAGGTGATTTTAAGGTCTGTGATCGAATGTTAGACAGAGTGACGCTTCATTGTTGCTCTCTAATTATCCCTGACTCGCATTCCTACGGCACGATGTAGCATTTTGTTCCAGGAGGATTATGGCAGAAGCAACTTGTTTACTTGCTATAAACAAGTACAAGTCGAATCCTTCTGAGGAAACGAATAAACCTAGGGGTCAGGAGATCAGCCCGTGCAAAAGAGTGTGTGACAACATTAAACCACCTTTAACAAAGTAGATAATCTCCTATCCTACTTCAGGAGGGTAAAAAGACCGTGACACTAACAAGTTTTGTCAACTCAGAAGCAGATTAAGCTATGCTAAATTAGTAAATGCTATTTTCATGGGAGGAGGGAGGAAAAAAACATCCAAACTCACTTAGGAGGCAATAGCGTCACCTCCATAACACCACCATAGCAACCCCCAGCTATACGACGATAGTCTTGAAGGCGACAAATTGGACAGGCGAAGGGTGAAATCACCATAAAGTGGTACTGACACCCATCACACGTCCCCACTGCACAATTGGGAGGAATTTGAACTCGTGCCAAGGTGTTGGAGACATCGTCGACTTCACCACACCGCAAGGTCACGATGGTGTTGATACCGTCTGGACAGGCATTTGTTGATCTATTCCAACACATTCAAAGATGATCATCAAAAGCGAGCACAGAAGAAAGACAAGCAGCGCTAAAAACACAGAAGTTGCATGCAGGCATTCCAGAGGGAGGAGGGACAGAAGAGACGGAAAAGAGTGGGCGAAGAAATAAAAGGCACGTCTGCAAAGAATGCGAAAGTACAAGACATTCTCTCACGTACCCATATAACCTACAATTTTATTATTTAGCATAAAAAAATAAAAAAAACAGATTAATTTTCTTTTTTCATCACAAATTTAATAGTTTTTTTATTCCGAATTTCCTGTTCTTAAATTTCAATGAGTAAGGAAGTGTAAAAAAAGCACAAATTCCATTGCCACTCGTGGACAGAACAAAGAGACTTCATAATTCAAAATTTCCCCCCTCCCCACTCCCTGTGTTCACCAAATTCTCAGGGTTATATTCTTTGGATGGACCTTAACAAGGGGGGAAAGTGAAGAGGAAGGCAAGAGAAACCAGACATCACTCTCTCACGCCGACGCAAAGAGGCATTCCTGGTGTGGAGGGAGAATTCTTTCCTGCGGAGCAAATAAATCAACTCGTTTCATCCACCGTCCAGCGCCCTACTACCAGATTGCTTCAATGGTGGCGTGCGGATGGGAGAAACGACTGTTTCGTCTCCTCAAATTGAAAAGCCAGAAAAATGTCAGTCGCAACGACCAACTGCTTGCAATGATGATGGCCTCAGACAAGGAGGGCGTGGTTAGTCCACCAAAATCCATTGTCACATTCAAGTAACTACGCAAAATTTAATTGAAGGCAATGTTATTTGGACCTGATAAAGTTGTCCAGGTGAGTGAGTGGGCATGAGAGTGAATGATGGATTGAGCGGAGGTGAAATTGGTCGTGATGAGAGATATTTGCGCAATAGTTGGTAAACATGACGGAGTCCTATAAATTTTGTGACTAGAGGTGACAGCACGATTGGAAGGCACGAGAAAAGGGAGGTAGAGAAAAGGCAGTTATGCAACAAAGAGAGTAGAAGTTTGCCAAGGCGACTTACGACTTCGTCTGGAAAAAAATGTGGAAATCTGTCCCTTCATCTGAAAAAAAATGGAAAAGAGAAAATGAGCATTGAATAAGGATTTTTTTAGAAATTATTCCTAAAGAGAAGGAGGATCCACGCCTAACCCATTTGAATGCGCTTTTCCATTCCCATCATTTAGCCCTTTCAATTACAATATTGTGGTTATTAAGAAGCCAAATAGCTTCGTTTCACCTTTTAGAAGAGTCTTTTCACCTACATGCTGTAGTTGGTTGGTAATTAGGCACAAAAGGGAGAGGAAATGCTTAATTCCATTGTAACACTGTTTGTTTGGCTGGTAGTTTCGGTTTCGGTTTCAGTTGGTTGATCATGCCAACAGTGAAGTACACACACATTCCGCCCAATCTTTGAGTTCACTTCTCCCGACGACACTTTCATTACCTTAAACTCTACAATCAGAGACTCCAAGCACGAGGGATTTTGAGGAGCAAGCATTTACTCTCGTTCTTTTTCAAAAAGTGATTTCGTATAAACAATCACTAATAATCAGTTTGGGGAGGAAAGACAAATACTGTTAAAAAAAAATTGACAATGGATGAATTTGACATTCATCTACCAACACTGTCTGTAAAATCTACGGAAGAGGACTTTAAAAAGGCTTTGAAGGCTGTCCCAAAGTTATTCAAATTTAACCTGAGCAAAGAAGTAAATTTGAGAGATAAGCTTGTAATTCCTGAGTGTCTTCACAAATGTACGCGCACTGTGTTGTCTCCCACTGCTGCATTTCTGCTACCTTCTTTCAAAGCACAGTCTCACGATTCTCAACTACTGAGCTATTTTGTTTGTTTGCTGCAGAAAGGAAGGCTTTTATTGGACATTCAGCGCGGAGACGGAGAAGCGTTTCAAACACTCTCAACATTCACTACAACTGAACTGTAAAGTAGATCGGCAGACAGTGTTTGTGGGAGAGACGTTGAAATTCAACCGGAACGTAAGTCCGGAGGCGCAGACGGACTCCTTAGACCCTTTCCCCACGCTGCTGCCACACCAGCCACTCCAATGCCAAACAAAACTCCTCGCATTTCTTATATCTCATCAAAATGGAGGAAGAAGGGATGGACTAAGACCCTCTTGAAATATTCGCCTAGAAATTGCCTCAGTTAGGAAGGAAGACAAATGTAAAAGTTCATGAGTGAGTCGTACCATCAGCCTTCCATCCGCCATTGACAAGTTTTGAGTTTATTTCCTTGGCAAATGCTTCGGACGAATTGGTTTGCACGCCCTTTACCAAGACATCGCCGAGGCTAAAGAGGAAGAAAAAGTTCCCAGGTTAGCTTCACTGATTCCCAAGTGCCCAACTTCCGCCTATTATTTGTCTGCTTCACTACAAATTTTACACATTTTGACAGCAAAATCCTGCACTTTTTGTGATATAAATAAAATGGGATATGATATGAAGGTTACGATCGTCGCTCCTTCCTGATTGGAGACGAAGTCATGGATTTTAATCATCTGCGGCTGCTCCAATGGTAGACAAAAGGCGGTTCCAAAAGAAGCGCACCCTCGATGTGATTTGGAGGACAGTCATTGTCGCTGACATTCATGCACTTTGGATTAAAATTTTACCAATCACGGTAGCAATCAAGTTTTTGTGGAAATAAAAAAAATTACCTCAACGCCCTGGAACGAAAGTAAGTATCAGCGCCGAATTCGTCTTTCACAGGGGTCCAGGTTTCTCGACATATCCACGCCGTCACGTTAGCCTATCAAAGTTCAGTGAGTAAAACATTTTCATCATAAACTAGGCCTTTTTGAAGGAAAAAAATCTGTTTACATTAGGTGGGGAGATGGTCTCCCGTAATAAGCAAAGCGTATCAACTAGTGTGCATTCCCTTCCCTTGAACAAAACAATCCTCCTTACGAGGAGTTCATAATGCCTTCGAGGGCTTTAAGCAGATTACACCAACCAAATTTGGTGACAAAAGGCTACACCTTTTGCCATTCATTTATTATGAATGGGGCATCTCTTCAACGTATAACCGAAATCTCATGTTGGCGGGACATTTGATTAAATGCGATGTTGCATCGAGCCCACCTCCTCATCATCATTGCCGCCCTCATCGACCAATCAGAATTGCCCTGACAATTTCTGACCATAAAGGACGACATTAAAACATTTTCTCTGTAAATTCATTAAAAGAATTTTCTCATGAAGTTTATGACCCAATCGAGTGCATACAAATCACAAGAAGTGACATTTAGGAGCTAGTTATTTATTCAACCAGTTGTCGCCGGTGCGAGAGAAAATCTGACTCTTAAATTACGACTTTTATTTCCCATAAAATTTTGCCTATCCGTGGAACAAGAACTCCAAGTTTCATCATGCTTTTGAAAAAAGACGGAGCTAAGGGGAAGAAAGGGGAAGTGCAAAGATAAAGGCCCCAAAGCAAAGTGAAGTAACTTATTACATTACTGGCCTAATTAATTTATCGTTCCATTTTATTAAAAAATATGAAATATTTCTTTTAAAGATTCGTTCCTATCGAAAAAAGGAAATGAGTGAATAAGCTTACATCAAGTTGGTTACTGTTGACACAATTGGATCGCAAATCCGACTTCTGGGTGTTCAGAAAGAGCTTAAAGTGATGCTGAAATTCGTAGCCTTGAGAAGTGAACAATTTGACTCCCGCCGTTGTAAATCCCCTAGAGAAAAGTGTTTTCAAGATGCAAAAGGAAAAGAGTGACATTGCAGGAAAATTCTACACCGTCCTCAGCCGTTGGAGTACCTGTTTAGTAGTTTTCTAAAATCGTAACGTTGACCAGTAGATGTTACTGGCCGCAAGTCCAGTAGACACTCCTCACCACTGCCTGGCATTGTTCCAGGCGGACAAGCCTTGCAAGCCTGTTCCACCGTCATGATTGCCGACGCATCGCCAATAACCATAGTTCCATTGGGACAAGGAACACATTCTGCGTGAGTCTCTCCCGAAGTCTCATTTGTTATCATGGTGTAGAAAAGACCCTCATTACATGGCTTGCAACTAAAAGGCGGAAAATTATTTACCTCAACGATATGTCCAAATGAGAGAGCGTTTCGGTGAAGATTGAAACAGAGGTACGAGTGTACTCACCAAACGCCTCGTCGTTTTTAAATAATAAAGCACTTCACCAAAACTCTTGAACGATTAAAAGAATTTTAGTCTTCACATTCATCAGATCATGCAAAACTGTGAGGTTACTTTCGCGCTTTAAATGATGGTGCTCCAATTACAGCAAAGGCAACAAGTGCGGAAGCACATTCAAACGCAATTCACTCATCAAAGGCACAAAATCCCGTGATACTAATTCCGCCCGCCTAATACAGTCAAATAACCAACAGACTCAAATCGCTACGGTACTATGTTAGGCAACTAGTCCAGCTAATCAGGGAGGAAATGGACATACAATTGGTTGTCTATCCCAAGTGGGCACTTTTTGCAGCCAAGAGCTCCAGTACCGCGAGTGTTGTTAACTTCAATGGAGTAAATGATCGCCCTGTCCCCACGAGCATTCGGATCAAGTTCTGAACCCGTGGTGTCCCACCGTTTAAATTCCCACGAAAACAAAGCTGCTTCACAACTATACGGTTCATACCTAAAAATGCGCAAAGTTTTATTGTTACTTAAAGTGTTAAGTAGCATATATTTTTTAGAAATTGTTGGTAGAAATATTTGAATTTCAGTATACTAGTCAACTCAACAAATCCAAATAGACTTTTTTTGCTGATCAGAATGCATTAGTAACAAAATGATTTCAAAAATCAAAGACTTTCGGCTGCTTCAAGTACTTCACAGTCCCAAATTATCGGCGAATTTCACTGGCAGACTTAGTAAAGCAGGAGCGAGTTTGCATTTTTCCTTCTCGAAAAGTTAAATAAACATCATTAATGTCCAGTTAAATAACCAGAAGCTTACGAGAACGTTGTACGATTAACACGACCCGACCATTTGCCGACGATTAGGGAGATCCATTGCATATCCTGCGAGCACGAAAAGAGTTTAAAAAGTCAAAGCCTTTTTTCGTGTTTCTCCTTCATTTTGACTAATTGCGCGATTAACATCTACATCTAACTTTTTATTTCCTTCCTGATTTACAACTAGTGCAAAATGTGAAAATTTTTCCCCTCATGTCAGGCAAAAAAGAAGTGGAGTTATTACAAATTTTAGAGGAGTTTTTCCCAGAAGCCAACATTTTTCTCACAATGATTTACTTCTTTTGTTATTTTAGCAGCAAAATAACATAAAAGGGGTGAAGATGTCTGTCTTGGACCACCCATCATCAAAAAACAACCGATAACGATGGTGGACGTTTCAAAAGATCGGAAATTGAATTTCAACCTTACTAATCCCCTTCAAAGAAGCAATGCTCCAGCGATTTCAACGCGAGAACGAATAAACCAAATCGACTCACCACGATGAAGGTGAGAGAGCAATGCCCTCGACAGTCCAATTCGAAGTCGAAGACCAATTTTGTGCCCGGCAGAGGGTTTGTAAATCGCGAGAGGTAGGGAGATTCGTATGGCTTGGGTCCAAGGAAGCCATCGCCGAGCTCCAGGTCCAACACTGAGTAGACGTGGTTTCCAAGGCCGGGGCCCACAAATATCGACGACCTATTCAGCTGCCACACCTGGCAGACGGCGTCTAGGCACAACGAATCGATTGGTCAGGTCCCAAGGTCAAGCCGTTGAGATTCTAGTAACTACAGGGTTGGGAACAGGTTGCAACCCGACTGTATGCATCGTCATCTTCACCTTCTTGCTTGTGAATTCACCAATCAAAATGGCATCACAATGAGCTTCTTGACCAATTAAAGCCAAGTTTTATTCTGTAAGATTGTTTTGTTTCAAAACTCTTCCGTGGTAACAAGCCTTCGGTAGGCTTACGTTGTGGATGGTAAAAGGGGAACATCAACAGCAATTAGGAATTTTCTAGGTGCATTATTATGCAAGTTTTTAAAAAAAAAGCGACAAAGGTTTGTCTTCAACTTTGCGCGTGCAGATAAATCACTTTCCTTAATCAATTCAACTCCAAGTCTTTTAAACAAAAAAGTGGAAAAGAAACGTTGCTACATGCGCATAAGTGAAAAAGGAATAGACTCCGTCGTTATGGAGAAAGAAAAGGGCTGAAAGAGTAACCAAAATGATTGCCAAAAGTGCGGCAAGACATCACATAAGAGAGACTGTTTGTAGGGCTGGCGACGGTGATTAGCAGATGGCGCTGAAGCGCTTGTGCCAAAAGAAACAAAAAGAAAAGCAAAATACAAGTCGCATGTCTCACATCAAACAAAAGAACTCGAACTGCAAAAGCATTTACCACCAAAGAAAGAACGCTCACCCCCTTCGTGGCAGTAAGTTGTCATCCTAGGCGGCATTCGACTCCATGTGTCATACTTGATGCCAAAGATGGGCACCTCATTGTCAGGACAGGCTTGACAGCTCCGCCCGTCTTTTGATGTTAAAAAACCCGACGGACAACTGCCACAATGGGTCGTGTTTAGCACTTTCGTACCAAGGGGGCAGGAGGCACAGGCCACATTGGTGCTCACTGGTTGCAAAGCTTTGGTATCCTCACAAATGACCGGTTCGATGAGCTTGGTTACCAAATGTTGCTACAACCACGAAGTGGAAAACGATCACGTGGGCCTGTGTACACTTGTCGAGCTCTCACAAAGATTCGACGCTGGTTCTGCTAGTAAGACCGTGTGTGTCTGCCTAATTCTTCATTCATGTATTATGCATGACGGGTTATTGATGAGGAGAGAGTCCACAAAAGTAGACTTGGATTTATTTGACCAGATGAACCCTTGTTCAAGCCCATTCAACCCTTTCTTCTGCCACAGACGGTGACCCAGCTCTTCCATTATTTGTGCGACAACTTGGTGTAGTTATTCGCACCAAAACAATAAAAAAACCGTCTTTTGTATCCACCTTATTCTCACAATTCTAAACTCAAAAATGGCCACCTACAGTGAGATAGGAAGACAAACACAAAGAGCATCTCGAGTGACAAAAAAGCGCTTCCACCGTGGCTAATTAAATTGCAGAAGTTAGACATACTTGGACCTCACATCTCTACCCACACGCACATACATGCAAACAACGAAGAGTTAACGGGGAAAATAGCAAAATGGAGTCTTGTATAACCAAAAACGACAGACCAACAACGGCAACATTTAAGTGAATGGCTAGCTATCCATTTAGCTCGTTGTTGTTGCCCTAGCAACCGGTCTAAGACAATGAAATATTACACTACCTACCCAAAAATAGTTAAAGGGACTTACCGCATCGGGAGTGACACTACATTCAGTAAAGGCAGTGATGTATTCCGAGGGTTTACAGGCCTCCTTCTTAATGCATTCACTTGAACCAGGCACTGAAAAAGGTCAGATGATTACGAGAGAGAAGTCCACACAAGCACACCACCTATCCACAAACCATGCCGATTCCACTATTTACAAAATGCAATGTCTAAAATTATATTTCAAGTAATACTAAACGGAGTGAACAGATGGGAAGAGACAGCGAAGGAGTAGGCGGTGAGAACACGACCACAGGTTCTTTAATGTTCGGCAGAGAAGAATGTGAGCAAGAGACGAGGAGTAAACGATTAGCAAAAGGTTGAGCATGTTTACACATTTCTGCTTCAGAGATTTCAGCGCACCGTTTATTTCGCATTTAGTCCACCTGGCGAGAGTTGGGTGACAGACCAAAAAAGAGGTATGTGAACTACACTCGGCGATGTGTTGCTAGTAGGCAAAGCCAAGAGCGAATCCGCAACCTCCATGAGTACACAACTCAGGCATTAAACGAGTGGTTACCTATGGCGACAAGAAAGGTCGATCCCCGTTCTTTTATCCTTGTGCCTTAGAAATTGGTTGTCATTCCCAATTGATACATTGCTCGTTTATGCAAGAGCGTGTTAAGCAAGGGCGTTACAATTAAGGAAACAGGAAGTTACTGCACTTTTAGACTTCCCTACCTCCAAAGAATGTGTACGGTGTCGTATCAATCGCTACATATATTAAGAAATCAACTATGATAGATCTGTTCACCGAAACCAAACGTCTGATTCCTGCGTGCATGATACAATCAATAAGTTTATTAAAAGGCGTAAAAAATAATTCTTCCCTATGTAACTAATCAATGCCATACAATGAGAGACAGCCTAGCATTGCGCCATAGTCGTGAAAGATATATGCAAGCTGACTGAGAGGTAGGTAACTCAATTCTTTTTAGCCACCGTGACGCCTCCTCCAAAAATAAATTCTGCAGTGCAGACGAGAAAACAGTAAAACACTCAATCATAACTCAAAGCCAACTCACGCGAGTACATGCCGTTGGCACAAAAACTGCAAGAACTGGCTCTCCGTTTGGAGAACGTGTTCTCTGGACACTTATAACACTTGTCAGATCCCGGTTTGTCTGCGTAGTAGCCAGGTTCACACTCGAGGCAGGTTATTGTCGCAGGACGACCTGTGATCTGTACCGACTTCAACTTAAATTGCGTTACCACGGAGCTCTTTTCATAATAATTTTCTGAATAGAGGTACCACTGCAGTGTGGATGAACCGATAGGAACTGGTGCTGAGAACGAGGCCCAGTTGCTTTTCGGACTAGGCGGCAAGATGTGGCTCTTACCACCGTCCAACACGCAGCGCTCATTACGAACCTTCAAGGATGAGTCGATGTATGTCTGATACTTACTGTGAAGTAGGCTAATGAAAGAGGATCCGTCAACTTGTAGAAAAAAGTAACTTTGCCCTCCTTGATGTTTTTATTCTCCAAGGTTAACTCCGAAGCGCAAACGGTATTCGCAGTCCCCAAAACATGGTCCCCCTCAGGTCTCCACCCAAAACTGCCGAAAAAACACAGCTTGTAGGTATAAGACCGATTGTTCAAAATAAAGCCAGAGTGCAAAAATGCGTGTAAGCATGTATACATTCAGAATAAAGAGAAAAAACACTTACTCTTTGCAAGACGATGGGTTATTGTTGCTCAGAACATCGGAATAAAATCCACTTGGTAAGCTCGACCACGAATTTACCAAATAAACATCTCCAGGGGCTGCTGATCCAGCAGGACAATTTTCACATTGATTCGATGCAATATTCAAGAACTGTCCAGGTGGGCATGATTGAACTGAAAATATTCTGACCATAAAGCAAGCTTACTGCAATCTTGAACAAATTTTGGTGAGTCAGATACAGTGCATACTTTGGGATATCTCGGGACTTTCACAAAGAAATGACTTCCATCGGACTCACACGGTGTATTTATGTAAGTTGTTTGAGACTAAATGCGGTTACTAACGATAAAACCAACCTCATTGCACTCTGGCAGCCCAATCACTGCAGCATGAAGCAATAAGAAGGCGACAAATAACGTTCCAATCATGCCAACGGTTGGTATGTTGAACGAGTTTGAACAGCGTTGACTTAAATTCAAGGTCAAGGCATACATAATTAGCGGTCTTAATGCTTATTTTAAATGGATTTAAGTAGTTTTGCCCCCTCTCTAACTTTTATTATTACTCAACATATTCATATATATTACATGTCTAGCTGTCGCATTAATTCTACATTTTGGGTTATTTTAATGTTCTTGTCATTATTTATTGCGTAAACATTTACCATTGGGTAACCACTACATTTTACTCAAGTTTTTACTAAGTAAGTGAGTAAATATTTTCGTGAACACTTAAGAATATTTATATGAGGACACGTTTTCTGTCTGAACTTAAACGAAGCCGTGATGCTATGCGATAATATTGCTATCGTGCACAATAATTAGAAGTTTAGAGTCCCAAAGTTTCCTGTCGAGCAAGCGTAGACGTAATATTCCCATGTAACACATGTGTCTTCTAAAAAATAGGTAATTTATAATTTTGGTAATCGGATGGAGTAACACCACTTGAGTGACCCCAACCGGAGCCGGTAGTAAAAGAAAAAATACTCGGGTGAGGTCCATGCTATGCTTATGTGTGATAGACTGCGATGGGCATCTAGAAAAGGACAGACAAATTTATTCATCAAACCTGCTAGTAAGGCCCGTTGACAACGTATTTGAATGTACATTACTACACACCAAATTAGTTAAAAACTGATTGCGACAAATTTCTCAAATTTTATATTGTGTTAAATTAGTGTGATTTTAAGATATTTTTATAATAGCTAAGCCTTTTCAAGCACCTCAATTTTGTTCTAAATGGTTTGGCAGCTAAAGGTTGTCAACAATTGTCTTACCATTCGAATGGGGTAAAATTTTCTTCAATCCAAATCGAGGAGCAGGTCGCTAATATGCGGAGGCGGGGGACGGAAGTGGACAGCCATGTCAAGAACCAATCTATCAAATTTTCGACTATCTGGAAATGCCTATGAGCAGATAATTCCATCTAAATCAAGTGCTGCCTTGCTACCATTTGGTGTACATGGGTGATGAACACGTGTCGGAAGTCGGTAAACCAAAGATGTGACTTTAGAGGTGGTAGTTGACCTACGCTTAACTAATGCTGATATGGGGCCTGCGACTAAGTGTCTATCAAATTGCCATTCGGTGGGAGTACAATATTTGCAGACCCGAGTGACCATTTTACTAGACACCAAGCTAAATAAACCGCTAAAGCAATTATCATGATGCTACCATTCTTTAATGTGGAGACCACCTCGGAAGAGTAATTTGGCGACGCACAATTTAACACTTCGAGACCCCCTCTTTGGTAACGGAGGGACAGGAAGTATGGCAAAATACTTGTAATCAAGCAAAAGAGGTGTGCGTTAAAAAACAAAATACCACATTTCTCTTCACTTCCTTTGAGCGACGAACTCGGGTCCTCTCCTCGATAAACCCAAAGCTTCAGCCATCACATCATAATCTATGCTGGAAGGAAGCACCTACAAGTCAGCTGTTAAAGTCATTACCTCCTACGAAACTGAGAGTGTGTACTTGACCCTCACGGCACTTTCATCTGCCTTTGGAGGTGGGTACCTCTGTTTACCATCAGTTGCATTCAGGGCCAGATATTGGAACACTGGTCTAAAAAAGATGCGTAATGAAGAAAAGGGGGTCAAATTCCGTCCTGTTTGGAGGGTAGTTCAATGTAGAGTCATCGTCGATATTCACGCGCGAAAATGCAATACAATGCAAAATACTTCTTCAACGGTTGATTCACATCGGTGTCACTTTAATTGTTAGTAGCTTGCCAGTGGAGCAAAGAAATGGGTTTGATGCTAGACTCAAGAGTTGTGAAGGCATTAGAGATTATCCGGTCCGAAGTGCTTGAACATCATTTTACATCATGGAAATTTGTCCCAAACAGCGCATACCAAAATCTAGTTTACTTCTAACCGTCACTAGTTTAACGCTTTGAGACTTTCAGTTTGGCAATAGAAGGCACTGGTCATGACTGCATAAAAAGGGCAGTCATGAGGTCAATAAAGTAAACAAAGTATTATCTGCAGCATCTCCAAAACCGTCAACCACTTAACCCCAGAAAGCACTACTTATGCTACCGCCTATGAATTGTTTCACTGTATAAGCCATCGTCCTAATGGGAGGTAGAGCCGCCTTGACACCACTTAACCCGTAAATGGGAGAGTGCAAAATTGACCCAATCACTCTTTGGACATGTGTGCTATGAAAGCGGAATTATTTCTCGAATAAAGGGTGGCAATTTATTGCGTGTTAATTCATGGGAAAAATGGCGGACGCATTTATCTTCTTGCTCCTTCTGTGCCTGAGGAGGAAATTTACTTCCTTATTCGACACTGCTGCAAAACTTCAGGTCTGGGAGACAACGATAATTTTTTTTTTCAGCACAATAGAGCTGGCGATTTAAACAAATGTTAGACCTTAAAATAGATTCTCATGTTCTCCCTTATCATCACAATTAATCACCACTACGTAACAACTTCAAATTATTAAAGCGAGTGGAGGTGCCTTTTACCGAGCCCGTGCACAATTCACAGATGTTGAGGATAAAAGCAATCGGTGGAACTGTTTGTTACAAGCCTCTTTTGAAGTCTGTGTCGTCAAAGGAAATTTTAATGTTCGCTGATGCTATCCGCATTGTAACAGGTTTACGTCACCTCCCTTCACCTCTGCCTCCACCCGCATGGAATGCGTCGGTTGACAAGGTAAGACCGCTGTTCGTTGGGCAATGGAACGCAGGAGAGGAGGGAATTGAGGGTACTGGCTTTCGTTGTTAATTCCTCCCCTATGAACCATGACGCATTTAAACCCCGTGATGCGTTCAAACAGTTGCGTATTAAAAGGATGAAGACCATATCGCCACCTCTAAATAGACCCTCTGCCTACGATTTCACAACCTTAGAGAAGGACAAGTTTGGAGAACTTAATTTTACCAGCTATTAACTGTCCTACTATCAAGGGATAATTGTTTTGTCATCCCCTTTGCAATCGGAAACACATAAGTACATCGCTTTTACTGGAACCGGATGAACAGCCGATTGCATGAAAGGCACAGCTGTCAAACGACTTGAAAGGAAGGCACCCAAAAAAAGGGGAAAAAAAAATAAAACCATCAAACTTAGCTATTACAAAAATTAGTTACTAAAACACAAATTTCTTCGAAAAGGTCTCTTGTGTGTGGGTGGTTGGGCGAGTGGGCAGGCGGATTGATGACTGGGTGCTTTGGCCAGCACATGTGGGTGGAAGGGGACGATTTCATTTCCCCCTACACTGGGCACCAATCAAAATTGCCCGACCGATAGATTTCGTCCAATGAGGCGGGACATTGATGCTGCTTCCAGAAGTATTTGAAGCCTTCTCTGTGACTTTGGGAGGCTATCACCACTTGCTCCCCTTTTCACAGGTATGTTATTACTTCAATTCTGTCTTTAAATTATCAAACTAATGAATGAGTAAGCGAAACCTCCCACAACTTTTACAAAAGGGGGACAAATTTGGGCTCCGAAAGAGCACTCTCGTGCCTTTTTGTGCTAGTAGTTAAACTTAAACGAGGTGGCCGAACCCTTCTGCTCCACTTCGTTACGAAAGATGTATTTTTTTGTGCATTCTCATTGCAGATTCCCATAAAAGCCACTGCAACATAACCGCATTAGTGTTGAGACTGCTAATAATGTGAAGTGTAAGACTTTACTTACTTTCTTTTTCATTATTTTCAAATGCCTCGTCAGCGGATTGTCCTTCCAAAGCCAAATATTTGCATCAAATAATTGCACCAACAAGTGCCGTCTTAAAAAAAAATCTTAACCAAAAGTATTACCATTTTAAAGTTAGTGAATAAAGAGAGGACTCAAAAAAGGGTTGATCAAATCATACGGATGGAAATGTTGATGTGTTGAAAGGAGTGTGATTAGTTCATGGAGTGAGTTTCTCATCTGGAGGCGATGAGGAGGAGGCAAAACTGTCTTGTGTATCACCTCGACAGCTACACTTTCCTGTTGATCTTGGCAGCAACACCATGGCTTTGTTGGAAAATGTGTAAGCAGCAGTAATTTACCCACCTTGATGCTCCTCACAAGCGATTTCGTGAAACTTCGGCCTCACTTGCACTACCAAATGTGGACTGGCCAAAGCGATAGTGTCAAAGTTTGGCACTCTGCTCGGCCTGTTCGTCCGTTTGCGGGTGGCGGCCGGTTGCGACATGGAATTTAAAATAAAATTGTCTTCCCTTCTAAAGACTAGAGCGTATCCTTTTCTTCTGCAAGTTTCTTCCTATGGTGAAGTTACTGAGGTCTTACTTTCTTATCCTGTCTTAGAGGCAGAGGTGCTGGAAAAAACACTTCTGCTGTGCTAAGGTCAACCCCTCACGAGGTCACGATCATCCTTCTAACATTTTGAGGTCACCACTTTTAAAGTGATGACTCACTTATTGACCTGACGTCACGTCTTTAAGAGTCTCAATTTTCTCCACGGGGTGCTTAAAGCACGTTGGATCAAACAGAAGCTGATTGCAGTCTATGTGACCAGATCTGACATGCCGACTGTCTGGCCTAACTAATCTTTATTAGTCACCGCCTTTGTTCTCCTCTCTCCTCCCTCCTCCCACCCATTTGGAAAAGACGCTTTCAGAAAGCGTCCAGTCTTCAAAGCTGACCGACATTCTTCCCACCTTCAGGTTGGTTTCCAATTCAACAATGCTAAAAGGTCTCCTCATCGCTGTAAGTTCACAGTTTTCTACCTCACAGTCCTTACAACTTTTGTATGTGGAGTTGAGTGGCAATTATTTCCTTTTGGTAGGCGTAATGATGATCAGTCCATTTCTCCACTGTCTTTTTGTTTCTTTCCAGCTTGTATTTACGTCAATGACAGTCAGTTGCCAACCCACGGAATCCAGTGAGCTTCCCTATTGTTCCCTTTCAGCATGATTCACTTTTCTTTGACCCATATTAACAGACAATTAAACGTTTATGCAGTCTTAACAATTACTGAAGGCGAGTTAGTCGTCTTTTAAGGGCAACAGTGAGGGGTACACAAGGTGGGACACCTTGTGAACTAAAAATCCGGTCTGTACTTTGCCGCTTTCCCATCTAAAAGTCGCCTTTGAATTAATATAAACAAACCGTGAAGCAAGAACTTTGGGGGGCGATTGTACGACAATAAAAAATGGCTTTGACGTCACAGAGCGAACGCCTGAAATTTGGGCATTACATCACAATAAAATTTGGTACAGGCGAATGCAAACTTTTCTTCTAACATTTTTTTAGTTGGGGAGGCTCAAGACGTTAAACCTCCAACACTGATGTCAGAATCCGAGCTGAATGGCGGAGAGGATGAAGAGGACTTGGACGATGCTTTGGGTATGCGCTGATCACTTTTGTCCAACTTGGGATTTATACGAAATGAGAGCGCCCTCTTAGCTTTTGCCGTGTACTTCTAGCGAAATGTCTCCTCGCGAATTGTGAAGCACGAACCCAACAGTTGCTGCATTCTTAAATGGAATGAGTGCAAATGGAGACTGTTGGGTTAATAAGGAGAGAATTTTGATGCGATACTTTAAGGGTCTTCAAAGCATGCCGTTCTTGTGTCCACGCGCCTTTCCATCTTGGTGATGTACTTTACCTCATTCCCACAAGATTAATCATTCGAGGGAACTTGAAGGTGTCCGTGTTAAGACGGTTGACAGTCCACCACAATGCAACATAGTTCTGGGCACTGTCCTCTGTCTCATGAAATCTCATTTTTTTTTGTCCAAAATGTCTTTTGTAATTTCTTACCTCAGCTGCTGGTTTTGCAATGGAAGGACGTTAATGTGACTTTTTGCATTGAACGCCAATTTAGACGAGGCACCGGACGCATCGGATCTTGAACCACTAAAACGCCCCTTCGAAAACTACGATGGAGACGTTTTTTTAATTTCCCCACAAAATACTTCAACCTACAGTGAAATGCAAATTCAAGACTCCTACATCGACGAAGGCCCCGAGGAGGATTCTGAGGAGGAAAGCAGAATTGAAGATACTCAAAACAACGCTTTTGAGGCCTCGAGTAGAACTCAGCACAAATATTATCCTCCCGAGTACTACAGGGAACCCTATGCACCTCAATTCCTAGAAGGCGCCAGAGAACGAAGTCGCTCTGCACCGCGACAGTACAATGCAGAAGAGGCAAGACAGCCAGTTTTTGAACCTCTCATATCTCCGGAAAGGGCTTACACCGTATCCTATGATAAGCATCGCACAGAACCGCCGCCTGTTTACGATAACAGGTTGCTGTATCAACCGGAATTCGGTGAAAGCGATCGCCAGAAAGCATCACAATCACGTAAACCCATGTATAATGCACCCGAAAAGCCACAGATGACCACAATCAACTCATACGAAAAACGAAAGAACCAGGTGGATGAGTATTGGCGAGAGGAGGAGAGGAAAAAACAAATGTATGATAGCCAAAATACGTACAGACGTCAGTCATCCACTGAACAGAACGGAGAATGGAGACAGAGCGACTGCACTTACGACTCCATGGGAAGTAAGTTAACCAGTACCACGGATTCTTTGTTTGACCAAACAGATGACTTAAAGGAAGAGAAGGTTAATGCTTTTGTCGAACACGTAAAAGCATAAAGATTCAAACTGCCAAGGTGGAGTTCAACCTTGGGTGAAGTTAGACTCTGATGATTGTCACGGTGCAAAGCTGAGTAACTTGCAAGAATTTGGTCACCTTTTTAAAAGTACTCCCGTGAATTAGCCAGCTGAAGAGCTCCTGGTGGAATCAACTCAACAAAAAGAGTGTCAGAGGATTTAATGACCTTAAGTGACATCACTCTTTCAGGTTGGCCTCATACGAGACTTTCTAAATTACATTCAAGGGACTTGCTAAATTGCCTTGCTTTTTCAACATTCCACCTCAAATTCCCCATGGAATTGGTCGAGGAATCGCAAATTAACCATTGTCAGGTGCAGATAGGCTTAAATTATTGTAATTTTGCAAAATTATTCGTTACTTGTGCAAGCATGACACACTTAAAGTTTCATGTGAATAGAAAGTCCAGTGTCAGGTGTTATTCTCATCAAAAAAATCGGGATCGCTCAAATGTCCTAAGGCTTAGCAAATATGCGTCACAACATTGAATTGCTGCAGGAATGATGTTTTCTGGGAGAAGTGTACCATTGGTGAGGGTGGTCATGATTACGTTTGGACTTTTAAGCACGTGCCATGTGGTTAGGGTGCCATGAACAGGCAGCAGACAAGTACGAATCTTGCCATCGTGGGTAGCATTGCTGTTGAAGGTCATGCATTTTAATTGAAGAAGGAAACACTAGCTTTATCTCTAACATTTAATGACCAAAATCTGTGACAGACAGGACTCATACTACGAGTGAGAAAAGTGTGAGAGATTGACAGAATCAAGAGTCTCCAGAGTCCTTTTGTCTCCTGCTTTTCAGCTGGTCCTACATTCGACCACGAAGGGGCACGTTTACATTTGAAAACATTTGAAAAGGGGATCCAGTTTTCCTCCCTGTATGGCACCAATAGCAATGAACGAATAGTTAAGTAAACTTAGTTATGTAAAACAATCATATCAACAACAATGTAGCATTTGACATTTTATCGTAGAATGGGAATGTCACGGCTTCGACGGTCTCATCATCGAAATGATTCGAAAAAATCTGTTTTCGGTCCTTAAACCATAAATGCATCCAATTCCAATTATTTGAACTACAACGTACAATGCGAAAGTGAAATTATTCACTAAATTTTAGGACAATGAATGCCATATATCACTATTACATTGGTACCAAACCTAGGGAATAAGAATATACCCATAATGATGGCTGTATGAAAGTCCCTTGTAGACAAAGCGCAAGCAAGCCTCATCCACCACTTAGCCTTTTTCAGATGTCGCGCCGGCCTTGATGAATACATCTAATTGCAGTGTCAACAAACTAAAACAAGTTGTGTGCGAATGCAATTGCAAGTTAGGTTTTAAAAAAACACTACATCAAATTGTCAAAGCTTGCTATAGTGGCTTATGCCTTGACGTCTTTCAAATCCCACAATTTTTTACCCCTTACGCGTGGCACTGCAAACTTTGAAATAAAGAAAATGTAATAAGTGATATTTGAATCTAAGTGATTTGAAATGATGCATGCAGAAAGTCGCATTTTGGTTATAAGATGTTCGGAGGAATATGATGAACCTCAGCAATCAATTTAGAAGGAAGTGCATATTTATTCGTTGCTCCTTATGTGTTTCTTAATTGCAAAGGAATTAATTACACTGGTATATAATATGCTATTCTACCGTCCAGGATGATATAAGGCCAGTGTATGCTCCAGAATTCCTACCGCCCAGCAGAGGTTCATGGTGGAGTTGTAGGTCTTCACGTAAGCAAACAATCAGCTAAAATAGCAGTCAACGGCCAGTAATTACAGCCTAGCAATTGGCCAGCCAATGCAAAATCGAAGAGACTTGCCGCGATTACTTTTAGAACAATGACCAATTTATGTGGGCATTTCATTGACACTACAGGACTAGTGAACTGTCTACCCGGAGCTTCAAACAGCTACAACTCTTACGACACCATCTCGATGAATGTGCCCCCTTCGCCTCCACTATCATATCCTTCGACTTCAAATGAGAGCGTCGTCAATGCAGAGGCTGAAGCTAAGAAAGCGGAATCAGATGCAGAGCACGACGCATTTCTCCGTGCCAATCGTGTACGACTGAGCGCACCGCGTTGGCCAGTGCGTAACATGGACTTACTAGGGCCCTACCCAAAACATTCTGCCTGCCGTTTGCCGCCAGAGTGGGGTGTCGGACCAGAGGAGCGCTCTGCTTGGTTTTTTTCACAACCAGATGGCCGATGTCTCTGGTTTTCCTACAATGGTCACGGTGGAAATGCAAATAGGTTCTACTCGAGGGCCAACTGCGAGTCTCTGTGTGTCTTTGATCAATTTGACCTCTGTAAGGTAGGCACAGATTCCGTTAGACCTTGTCTTAGGTACTTTTTACTGTGCATTTACGCAGTGTTACCTAAAGTTTCGAAAGGAATGGGAAGGTGTTATTGGTCTGCAATTACAAGAGAGAATTGAAATAAAATGGGCCAAAAGGGGACCTGAGGATAATATACGGAATGGCAATGCACCGCATGGAACTAACAAAGGAAACTTGTTGTGCTTGTAATTAATACAATCTGACAGTAGCACGTCCATGGGTTTAAGTCACGTTTCGCAGCAGATAAAGGGTAGCATAGCAGCTGCACGAAGTACTCATAATCATTGCTTTGTCCTTTCATACAAATATTGCATTTCCAATGATTAATTTGGTGCCCTTACTTAGAGGTACCATGTTCAATAGACCTTCTGGAATGCCGGAAACATTCTCCCCTATTGTTTAAATTGCACATTTCCACAATCCTTTCCACTGCACTACTTCTCGATTTCTAATTTCAAGGATCTTATCAATTTTAAGAGAAGGCCAGCATATCATCGAGGCTCATTTTAGGGTTGAAAGTGCCTCCTATTTAGCAAACATCCCTTCGAAAACAAGCACGAGAGACAGCACACTATAAGCATTTTATTGTATCCTAATTTAGGCTGAGCACCTCATCGCGAGCCTATTTTGATTTCGTGAACACCTTTCATCGCATCCGCTTTAGCGAAGAAACCAAATAATTGGGAGAGATCAGTAATTTTAAACAAAATAATGGATAACTTGTCTTCTTAAGCGCTTCGCAATAGTTGAAATCTTAAAATATCTCTTAATAGTTTTCTTTTTTCGCCTTATCCTTAAGGGGTGTGAATGCATTCGTACGCTAAAAATTTTCTAATTGCAGCAATTATACATTGGAATGCGTAAAATTCTTTTTCCACAAAAATAGAAGACGCTTTTGCTTTGGACAGCAATTTGGTAGTTGCATGTCTGCTACTAGACCTGTAATCACTACCCGTCAGTGATGTCAAAAGTTTATCCCGTAGAATGCTCTGATAAAGAATTTTTTGATGCTAGAATAACCAAGTGTAGAGTTGATTATGTAAAATGATCTGACATTTGGCATACTGCATTCAAAATTAGTCGCTTTTACCGTAACAAGGGAAAAAATTAAAAAATCTCCTTTTAATAAAACGGCAAATACCTTCCCTTAGAACGCCAGGTGTAGTTACCCGGGCAGCCACTGCATGCTGAGAGGCGACGAACGCTGCAAGATCTACGCGAAGAGTCATGGCAAGGATCCTGGGAACGAATGTCCTCCCGACCAGCCAGTGTGCCGTGCTCGTCGTGCTATCATCCCTCCTGGTACGTTCAGTTTTCACCAACATCAAAAATAACATTTAGAGGGAGGCAAAATTGATGTGGGTTATCAGGTAGGCTTTAGGCTCACTAAAAACACACATAGATGGAGAGCATGATCTGGCTGCGATGCATGAATGTCTGAATGAAAAGGTCATCCTAATTGCTTGTAGAATACAATACGGAGCTGATTCCAGAGGAGTGTAAGGAACAAGTGGACACGGGTGGATGTTTGGTGAAGAATCCTAAAATCCGCTACCATTACGATGCTCGTTCAAACACATGTCGTGCCTTCTACTTCCATGGCTGCGGTGGTAACAACAACCGCTTTGAGAGTATGCAAGAATGCATGAATCACTGTGCCCTTTAAAGTCCTAGCTCCATCTTCATTCCCCACCTCACTTATGCCCACAAACTCACTCCCCTTCCTCTTAATCTACTTCAACATCTTTCTAGCCTTTTAGTTTAAATAATTTGCTTGCCTTTTGGAAAGAAGAGGACATTCACCTTTGTTTTTAGTCCATTTCTGCCTTATCTCCAACGGCTGCATTAGTCATTTGTCAAAGTCAAACAACTATGGCGCCACAACTTTCTTACTTTTACCAGGTGTCACAAACATGTTTGGCATGTGCATTTTATTACGTCATAATAGATTAATTTAGGAGAAGAAAAGTCATCTACTTATTGAGAATTGAGTTGGTTTTGATTCGGTCTCCAGGACTGACACTTGGACAATGCACAGGCGTGACTGAAAGTTTCTTTATTAAATTGTTTCTTATCCCTTTGGAAGGAAGATGGCAAACTGGTTGAAGAGATGAGACGGATTCAAGGGGTCAGGATTGGAGTCATAATTTAAGCAAAACCTTGCGAAAATCCTTTTTTACTGATCATAAAGTTAAAGAGGGTGGTTGGCGTGCCTATTTCCCATATCTTTGGCCTTAAAAGCCGACATCTTCCAAAAAACGGCCTCCCTACTTTTCGCCCAGCAGAAAGCGAGATGTACACTTGTCTCGCCTACTCCAAAAGGAAGTGTAAGGGGATTTAAGTTGAGGCTTAAGCACCTACTTCGTAGATGTTAAAAACGAAAAAAGAAAAGTTAGATATTCAATCATTTATCACGCTTCACCCTAAGACCAATGCGTAAGCGGGTCTTTAAGGAAGAAGAATCAAGAATAATAAGAATGTTGGTTGAGGTTTTGCCCAGCATTGTTAGAACAGCTTCATGGAATTGGGAAGATGACAAGAAGGATTGGAATGGTTAACATTTTATTCGCCTTGTTGAGACACCAATCACCTACTTCGGCAGTTGAATCAACTCCAGCCTCTGGCTGTGGAGGGTTCCTTTTGGCTTCCGGGTATGAATGGAAATGTTTTAGAATTTCCTTAAAACGTCTGTGTTATCGTTAGGTTACGAGGTGATTAGATAGGTGGGTGATAAGTCTTGCCTTGTCTGTAGCGCGACCCCTTCGAAGACCGGTGAACACGTACTAGAGCAAGATAAGTGCCAAAACATTCGTCAGTCCTTCAAGTAGTCAACCAAAGAAGGTTTTACATTGCCTCCTTCTTCTTCTGAGCCACCTCCTCGACTCTCTATTTGTATAAAAAGCCCCCTCGCCAGATATATTAACATAGTCAATACAGCATGGCAACACCACAAGCCGCTCGCGCCAATCATTACCTCTTTTGGGACTGCGATGCTAAATTTGGTCTTCTCAGTGACTTCAAGTGATACTCAAGTTACGTTTGGTCTGAAACCGGAAATCGGGACACGTACTTCTGTTGACCGCCAGATGCGTAGCAGGGAAAACGTGTGGAATGGAATGCAGCGTGATACCATCGCTGACACCTACACACAAATTTGTCAAGGGGAATTTTAAACCAGTACCCTTTTGGATGATTCACGACGATATAGCTTCAGCTGTTTAAAAAGCTTGACAGTGAAACATTAAGATAGGGTGAATGTCAAATGCAGACATCGTGAAAATATTTGCAACTCCTCCACCTCGGGTACGCAATTCATTTTGCATCGTAGACGTTTGCCACAAACGGCGGAGACTAGGAGTGAAGGGCAACATAGTCGGGCTCGCTTTCCGCTGCCAGCAGTGTAACATCCCTCAGCTTCGCGTTTGATGAAAGGGAGCATTAGGTAGGGCTTTGGCTCGTATCAGAAGCTATTCCACTCAAACAAGACCAGGATTAAAGCCATAGGGACAAGGCATTACACTGTCGGTTAGTCATTCGCACGAAGTGATTTGAGGACACTACAGGACGCCATCAACCCAGTCAAACTTCTTAATAGTGCATCTTCTTTATTGCTGTGAATGATCATTTGACTTTCTTCTTACGATATAAGTGAAAGCTAAATGCGAAAATGCTTTGAAAGGCCTTTTTTTCCTTAAGGCTTTGAGTGATGCGTGATTTTTTTTAAATTGAGTGGTAATGTGCAATGTTGATCAAAGTGGATTGGCCTGAAGGAGGTCACAATGTCACGCCAGTGACTGCAGTCATGCTAGATCATAGCAAACCCTCTGAGACGCATTTTGAAGTGCATTATTTTCCATTTCAATGCGCGTAAAGAGATCTCCAGGTGTCGAACAGTTGGTTGCACAGTTGCTTGCAGATCGAGATGACATTAAGTTGAACTGTCTGGAACTTCCATGCGTGAAGAGTGCATCTTCGTGGAATCACTGGGTGTTTTATTACTTAAAAATGTCAAAGTGCGCCTCAGAGTTTTGTCATCACTAGAGGAAATTCAGTACACCCATAAAATTGGAAAAATATTTTATCTTCGAAACGGCGATTAGGATTTTGAAATATCTGATCGAGTTGTTGTTGAGACAGGAGAACTACCATAGTTGAAGGCTGTAGGCAGGACGCGGACCTAAGATTTTAAAATTTCATATTTGTCACCATGGTTGCTGAACGACTTAAAAAGATGTTAAAAATTACTATGTAATGATCGAAATTTTCCCATGATTACCAATTGTCAACCTGTCAAGTTCACTTGGAAGGTAGTAAAATCTGGTCGTTCCCAGTAGGATTCAAAGCATTCCAAATACATCGTTCTACAGTGTATAGAAAAAGGCGAAAGAAAACACCTCAAGCAACTTTATACTTTCGATAAATAGTCTGTCCAAAAGGCAAATTTATGAAACAAGAACAATGCTAAGGCGCAACTCGTCCCAAATCAAACAACCCCAATTGGGACCACAAGAAATGCGACCGTCGCGATTGGTACCTCATTTTTGAGCAAGAGCATGCGATTGTAGGTGACTCAAGCGCAGAACAACAACAAAGGTGGGGCATATACTGATAAAACGCGTAAAATTTG